AGTGCTGGAGCTGCACTGACACAACTGTGGAGGAGTTGTTGGAAATCCCCCACAGGAGTGTCGCTGGGTGGAACTGGAAGTAAGGTGGAACCACGGTGGAACCTCGCCGTCAATCACATCATAAATGCAGAGCTCTCGAGAAGTGGCACCTACTCTGCCGGCTGCTGCGGTTTCGCTTTTAAAACGATGTGAACATCAGAACTGAAACTATAGTGTAACTGGAAATGTCCTCACGCCCAAAGGGGAATCGAACCTGTGATTTCTGGACAAACTCTTGAGGTGGTCAGCGTTTGGAGGCGGAACAAGGCGAGCGCCGCATGTGCACTTGGAGGGAAGGAAGCTCACCTTCCTCCTATGAAACTGGTTTTACTTGGAAATCCAAAACAAGGCCATCCAAATGGCAGGGAAAGACTACAATCATCTCTTTAAGCTGCTCATCATCGGAGACTCCAGTTAGTACATTTTAACTTGTTTACATCTTTCTGCAGTCAAAGCTTTTCTTTTCTTAATGGAGCCCTGCAAGAAACAGACGTGTGAACAGACACAGTAAATTTAGGCTGCTGTCTCTGTGGGCCAGTAGAACCATAACAAACCTATTAATAGGAACGTTTCCATACTGATGAACTGGTGAGGTCTTACTGGTCGAAATCACACCATCCCTGTCCTGGCTTCCAGTTTGTTTCAGAATTGGTTTTAACTGATTTTTGCCGATCACCTGGTCTGGTTTTCACCTGTATGTGAAAGAAGCTTGACTGAATGAATCTCAGAGGTGTTGGCGTTGTTGGCGTTGTAGCCCTCAGGACCCTCACAGACTCGCTGCCTTCTTACTGCCTGCTTTATAGACTTGCTTTAAACAGGACCTGTGCTCATTCCCAGCTCCATGTGCTTGTCCTTGCAGTTACAGTAGCTTTATGTGATTTAAAGTTAAAATTAATCTTTGTTTTCTATTATATTATGAACAGTTCATACAGATTAATCCTGAGCTCATGCCAGCCCAGATGCAAGGCTGGATTAAGGACTAAACATAAGCTACATGCATTTGAAAGACAACCTGTTCTTATTTATAGCGCCATCATTTTATTTCTCGACGCAACTAAAGCAGCTTTGCATGATTCACAGTTCAAAATAATCCTCCCTTAAATCATACTGAGCCTTGGTGCGGCCCTTCAGTTTGTCCTCTGACTGAAACAAGCTGTTTAAACCCCGCCCCCTTTAAAATCAGTTTTCTTGTGATTGGCTGCCCTGTTTGAGCTTTGGGTGGGTGGAGCTTTCCAGATTAGAGAGATCGCCTCTTTATGACATCATACAGATCCAAGAGCAGAAAAAACTGAAACCGAGCAGTCGGGGATCATGTTCCACATTTTCACTTTTTTGTGTGATGTTTGTCTTATCTCCTAATGTGCTACAATGTCTCAGATATGAAACGTAGATAGATGTAAGACGTCACAGCTCGGGAATCGGACTTGGCTGTGGTGGGCGTGTCTGATCCGTGTGGGAACGTTTCTGTGTGTTTTGGCTGCAGATTAGGTCCCGTGAGGGGCGGAGCACAGCTTTCAGTTTAAAAGGTCATTGATAAAATAAAGAGTCCAGGACTGGGGTGGTGTGATATATCGGAAACCAGTAAGAGTGACTGAGTACCTAAATAAAAATAATGATAATTAAACTTTAACATTTGTTTGAAAGCACAAAGTCTGAGTTCAGACGCTGCAAAGCATGCTGGGATGCCAGCACCGCAGGCCTCAGCAGAGCCTGGTTTTGTGTTGGGAGTGCGTTCCCAGCTCGTAGTAAAACAAAGATGAGCTCCATAAAACAAACGGACCTGATCCTCTGCTTTAGAGAGAGCAGGCTCCAGTTATTGATCGAATGTTGTCGTTTCAGGGCTTTTGGTGTCAGGCCTCCTGCAGGAGGTGCTGAGTCACTGTCGGTCACCTTCCTCCCTGCAGGAACTTATTTTAGAGCAGTGGGTGGATTTCATCGCTGCACATGAGACGCGTGCCTGGATGGAAACACGGTTTCAGGAAGCTGCTGCGAGTTTCCAGTTTTCAGCTCGACATAGTTCTCGTGCCTTTAGTTGGCAGAGCTGTTTCTGTGAGGAGCAACGCTGTCACGTTTATCGTCCATCTGTTGGAGGCGCAGCAGGCAGAGGCTTTAGTTCCTGATAAACGAGCTCCGTCTCCGAGCCTGCTGAACGAGTCTAGTCCAGTCTTGTTTTGGAAAACCGCTGAAATGATTGAACCAAGCAGTGATTTTTCTTTTTTTCCTCCAGCTTCTGGAATCTGATTTTGATAGACACCACAAGTGTCAGCTGCAAACATCCAGCAGATGCAGGACTTGTTTTTACAGGCGTGTAATCTTTAGCACTTTAATGCTCTGAGAAAACTGGAACTTTCCCATCGATTTGTCCGTTTAGTCCGACGTCTTTCTGCTTCATCGCCTCTCCTCTGTCAGCTTTTTATCTTCAGATGCTTTTCTCACACGTCCAGTGCGAGTTCAACCTTTGTCCTATTTTGTGTTGTTTCACTTTCCTCATCTCACCTCCTCCCATCTGTGTGTTTTGCTGGTATGTGTCTGTCACTAAAGTTACAGTGGGGGACATGATAGGCTTTACTCAAACAGATATTAATCTCGTCCCTCTGATCTTTTCCCCTGTAGATGTGGGAAAAAGCAGCCTCCTGCTCCGCTTCGCAGACAACTCCTTCTCAGGTGAGTTGGTTACATGAAAGATGATACCTGCTCACACTAAACACACAGACTCCAGTTATAGGCCGAGAATTAAAAGCATTTTATCAGGAGGAGTCATCTTATCTCCAGGAGTCATACGAGCTGTCCTAACACGTCAGGAGCTGCAGGAGAGGCAGATCTATATCATCAAACGTTTAAATGCTTCATCCATTTCCTCTGAACGGTCTCGTGTGCTCGCACCCAAGTGTCCAACAATAACTGCACTGCTTTAGGAATATTAATAACCTGTGTCAGCATTTTGAATCCACTCTGTGGCGTGGGTACACAGGATGTGGAACAGAAGCAGAAAGTTGCTGAACTGAAAGCCGACGTGAAGCTACAGTAAAATGTCTGATGATGCTGTAAAGACGAGTTTGATCCCAGCAGAGGAAGTGACTGCGTCAGGCAACAAGAGTCCAAAGTTTATTTGCAGTTTGTAGTTTTTTTAATTTGCTGATCGTTTCAGGTGTTGGAGAAATGTGGTCGTTGAATGTGTTGTTAGTTATGAAGCGCTACCAGCAGCTTCACACTCAGGCTTGTTTACCGAGTGTGACGGCGCCGTGGAACACGC